GAATTCCCTGGGCTGTGAGCGAAGAAATTGGGTAGATGGATTTTCTCTAAAGAAGTGCTGTCTGATGGAAATCTATTATGAATCACATTTTTTTCCACATATGTAATTTTGTGACACATTGCTTAGTAGGCACATCAAAAAAGTAAAAAGAAACATGAAATTAATCCTTAAATATTTTTATTTAACCAATATTTTCAAATATTATTTAAACATATAATCAATATAAACACCTTTTTTTTTTTTTTGAGATGGAGTCTTGCTCTGTTACCCAGGCTGGAGTGCAGTGGTGTGATCTTAGCCTACGGCAACCTCTGCCTCCCAGGTTCAAGCAATTCTCTTAGTTCAGCCTCCTAAGTATCTGGGATTACGGGGTCATATCACCACGTCCAGCTAATTTTGTATTTTTTTAGTAGAGATGGGGTTTCACCATGTTGGTCAGGCTGGTCTCAAACTCCTGACATCATGATCTGCCCACCTCAGCCTCCCAAAGTGCTGGGATTACAGGTGTGAGCCACCGCGCAGGGCTTATAACACTTATTAATGAAATATTTTGCATTCTTCTTTTCTCAAAGACTTCTAAATCTAGCATATATTTTACACTTACAGTGTATTTTACTTTAGACACTAGATTTTCAACAGTTGAAGTGAACAAGGTAGCCCTACCAAAACAATAAAGTTGTGTTTATGGAAAAATATTGTACATTGTTCTAGTTTTAAAATTAGAATTTAGATTTATTAAAAAGAATCTAAAATTCAGTTTCTCAGTCACACTAGCTACCTTGCAGGTGCTCAATAGCCATATATGCCTAGTGGCCACCGTATGGGACTATGCAGTTCTAGAGAGTTGCCTGTGGGGCAGGAAAAGAAAGATGGAGATGAGAGATATTCTCAGTTTACAGTAGAAAAACTAGTATTGTTTGTGTGAGATTTGACTTAAATAGATTTCCATAACTTTTTTAAAACCTAACTATCCTTATTCTGAATTTAAAATATGAGTTCTAATGTGAATCGAAAATTTGTGTTTAGCTTGGCTGTTGGCCTTCTTGGGTTCAAAGGCCATCTCCGCCATTTTCTAACTGTGTGACTTGGACAAGTAACTTTAACCTCTAAGCTTCACTTTTACCATCTGTAAAACAGGGAAAATAATAGTGTCCCTCATATTATTGTGAAGATTAAGTGAGATAATACATAAAAAACATGTTGTAGAATGATTAGCAGCTTTTAGAAAATAAGTGATGGCTTTTAAAAAGTTAAACTGGCTGGGTGCAGTGGCTCACGCCTGTAATCTTAGCACTTTGGGAAGCAGGCGGATCATGAGGTCAAAAGATCAAGACCATCTCAATATGGTGAAACCCCATCTCTACTAAAAATACAAAAGTTAGATGGATATGGTGGTATGTGCCTATAGCTTTATGGGAGGCTGAGGCAGGAGAATCGCTTGAACTTGGGAGGTGGAGGTTGCAGTGAGCCGAGATCATGCCATTACACTCCAGCTTGATGACAGAGCATGACTCTGTCTCAAAAAATAAAAATAAAAGTCAAACCACTCTCTGGATGGGGACTGTCTGTAGTTTCTTTTTTATTTTTAAAAGTACATGTTTTTTTTTTTTTTTTTTTTAACCTGTTTAAAAATTACACATTGATTCAATAAATACTGTCTCCCAGCACCAGGTAGTCAGCTAGAACAAAAGATGAGCACGGTCCCCACCTTCAATCACCTCACATTGTCTAATGTTAGAAACAAAACAATGTTGGACTAATGTACAAATGAGAAAAGTAAAAACAAGAGAATAACAAAATTTTCCACCAATTCCAAAGAAAAGAAATCCCATAGGTAAAAACTGAGTTTATAAATTGGAAATCTTGTAGTTTTGCATAGTCCTCTAGCTTCCTTTAAAATAAATATCCACAATTAAATTAGTTAAGATTTATGAAATTAGATTGACATGGATTTGAATTCTTAATGATTAGCAGTAGGCTTTATTTCTGCCACATAGAAGACACTGCTTAGTTTTCCTCTTGCACTGATTGTCTGTTCCTGAGCTGTGTTTGCTTTTTCATTCAGTAGTTTGTATCTGATTTTTTAAAAAAGGTGGAGAAGTCAGTCCATTTAATCAAAAGTCTGAAATACAGAATATTTTTAATGTTATTACTGTTAAGACAAGAGAAACTAAATATAGATAAAATAATAATTGAAATAAATAAAATTATATTTATACTACAACTTTTCTTCTTCATATAAAAAATAAAGATATTTTGGATGAATAAGATATCTTTTTTTTAAAATCTAGCGATTAAAACATTATTAAAAGAAACATAATTTCTTAAAATTCTTGTTTTTAAAAGCTGTTTCTACCCAAGCAAAAACCTATCCATTCAGGATGTTAAGATTAAGATTATGGGCTTTTACTCTTTTAAATTTCTTTCTTTCTTTTTTTTTTTTTTTTTTTTTTTTGAGACAGAGTCTCCATCTGTTGCCCAGGTTGGAGTGCAATGGCAAGATCTCAGATCACTGCAACCTCCACCTCCTAGGTTCAAGAGATTCTCCTGCCTCAGTCTCCCGAGTAGAGCCGGGATTACAGGCACATGCCACCATGCCTGGCTAATTTTTGTATTTTTAGTAGAGACAGGGTTTCACCATTTTGGTCAGGCTGGTCTCAAACTCCTGGATCTGGTGATCTGCTGGCCTTGGCTTCCCAAAGTGCTGGGATAACAGGCATGAGCCACAACATCGGGTCTTACTCTCTTAAATTTCGGACAAAATTTAAAACAAACAAAAAAGAAAATAAAAATTCTATACCTGCTATTGGTTTATTTGCAAGTTTTTAATCTGTGCTATACTGAATCCTAAGATTTGGTCATCAAGACCTACATACATCATAATGTGCTATAGTAAATAAGAGTCCAATTAACTTTCACATTACTTCAGTTGTAATAAGATGAAATCTTTCACATTATTTGTAGTAACATGAAGTCTGTATTGGTAACAAACTTTTCCTACCATTAAAAATATCTATACCTTTCCCCATATATCAGCAATTTAAAATGTAAGTATTTGGGAGCAACTTTTTCAATTTAAGAAGTCAAAATTTAAGTATGGTATATATATAATTTTTTGTCATTCTTTGCATTTGAAGCTCTCTCTTAATGAGACCCTAATATTCGAAATTTTGTTGCTGAATATAGCCATCAAAGGATTGAGATTGTTGTAAAATACTGAGTTATCTTGAACGAAATTTCTCGCTTTAAATTCTATGCTTTATTCAGAAATGGCAGAGCTTGGGACTCTATCTAGATGGATGTAGGAGGCAGCACATGTCATCCTGTATGCTACCGGTCACTGTCTCCACACTGTACAACAAGTTAAGGGGAATATTGGGAGCATTCTTAAGGGAGAAAGAAGTGACAAAAAAAACAGGTACAGATCAGGAAATGTATGTGGAGGCCTGGGAATTATTGAGTGTGGAAATTTGTTGCTTTTCAGCCACATTCTTCTCCTCTGATGCATTACCTTTCACCTATAGTGTGCATCTTGGTGGGGCCCTGTTAATAAACAAAATGCTCAGCTAGGCATGGTAGCTCACACCTATAATCCCAGCACTTTGGGAGGCCAAGGCGGGCGGAGGACTTGATATCAGGAGTTTAAGACCAGCCTGGACAACATGGTGAAACCCCATATCTACTAAAAATACAAAAATTAGTTGGTTATGGTGGTGCTTGTCTGTAATCCCAGCTACCCAGGAGGCTGAGGCATGAAAATCACTCGAACCCAGGAGATAGAGGTTGCCGTGAGCCGAGATTGTGCCACTGCACTCCTGTTTGGACAACAGAGCAAGATTCTGTCTCAGAAAAAAAAACAGAAAAAATAAGTAAATAAGTAAATAAACAAAATGATCAAGTGATAAGCTGGCTTTGGTGGCAGAGTAAGAGAAGGATGGACAGAAGTGTGGGCACCTCAATTCTATCAGCAAGGCCCTGCCAAGATGTGCGAGAGGTACTGCCCAGGCCCCCTGTGGTACTGAGCCCTTACACACACACACACACACACACACACAAACACACACACACACACACACACAGCATTAGCCTTATGAAGGAGGCAACAGAAGACACAATGGCCCTAAAGTTGCATTGCTTCAACTCTTTCTGTTCTACTGGGTGTTGTTATCATGGCTGAGAGAAGTTTCATTCTATGGCAATGCACTGCAGAGCTGGTGTTTCAAATAAACTCAGAATGCAGTAGGCCAGGGCCACCACAAACAGCTGTGCAGATAATGAATCGCATATGAACTACAATGTGGATGGTGTGTACAAGCTACATAACTGTGCATGATAGTCCTGCAGGCACTCTATGAATATCTGTATCATTTTGCTGTGAAAAAAGAGGTCTTGATTGTATTGACTGATCTAAAAAGTAGGTTGGGAAAGAGCATGATAAGGTTGCAAAGAAGAGTGGGAATGAGAGGAATCACTGTGGTAGCGCAGCACATAATTCTCTTCTGGTGCCTCACCTGAGGTTCCCTCCCCTCTTCCCTGTGCTGATTTTGTCTTTTGACCCATGATGGATTCTAGAGCAGAAACCACAACAAACCCTTAACATTTCATTCCACTTATATTGTTACTACAGTAGAATAAGATTTAATGTTAAAAGATCCCACTTACTGCCGGGCACGGTGGCTCACGCCTGTAATCCCAGTACTTTGGGAGCCAAGGCAGGTGGATCATGAGGTCAGGAGTTCAAGGCCAGCCTGACCTACATGGTAAAACGCCATCTCTACTAAAAATACAAAAATTAGCTGGGCATGGTGGTATGTGCATGTAATCCCAGCTACTCAGGAGGCTGAGGCAGGAGAACTGCCTGAACCCAGCAGGCAGAGGTTGCAGTGAGCCGAGATTGTGCCACTGCACTCCAGACTGGGTGACAGAATAAGACTCCATCTCAAAAAGGAAAAAAAAAAGGTCCCACTATTAACAACTTCTGAGTGTGAAAGTATAGCTATCATGTATTCCTATAGAGACTTACAATTAAAAAGTTACCTTTAAGTTGTCTTACATGTTTTTTCATCAATTTTGTCTTTTTCTATTTTACTTTTCTTTCCTCACATTCATTCCCTTGAGAAAAGGGGAGACAGATGAGGCACAAGCTTGAGGAAATTAGAAGAAGATTTGATATGAGGGGAGAGAACCAGAAGGAAAAAAGGAAAGGGGTAGGGAAAGCAGGAAAGAGATCATTAGAGAGGAAGTGAGAAAGAAAGAAAGAAAAAGCCAAAAGCAGGAGAAATAAAAAGACACAGAAGGAGAACAAACTTATTTTGAATCTTAAATTCAGGTTATGTTCTAACTACATCAAAAATGGAGTTTGTTTTGCAATGGAGCTTATTGTTGGATTTCACAAGCAGTTTCCCTTTTAGAGGGCTCCCTACTTTTTTTATTAAGCCTGGGTTTTATAGACAAAGAATGAACCTGGCTGCTTGGGGTTCCAAGGAATTTGGTTTGTAATATTTAAGAAGAACATGGAAAAGAAAGATAGGTAAGGATGGAAAGGAAATTCCCAATATTTTATGTGATTTTCCTTTCTCTTCTTTTGTTGAACATCCTTTGTCTCATTTCTTTTCATCTTGGAAAAAATATCAAAGGATCAGAAATAAGCCTATAATTTGGGCTCACTGTAAAAAAAAATTTAAAAGTTAAGGAGAATAAAGCCTAGAAAAGTAAAAACTTAAAGTCAAGAGAGGAGAGAAATGAACTCAGATTCAGAGAGACAAATTTAACCTGGGTCCTATTTCATGTGTAACCTGAGTTTGTTAAAAAGTGCATTTAAAGTGCCACTTTATTCCAAACCCTTATGCAGAAAGGAGAAAAAAATATAATTTTCTCGAACTGCTGAGAGTTTGAGAGATGAATTTGAGATCATGGTCCCAAACTAGCATTGTCCAGGAGCTGGGTGAATGTGAATCAGATGAACTTAATAATGCCAGGAATTTGTTTTGCTACTGTGGGGAGCAGTTATTATTCTGATTTCTACCTAGAATATAAATTAGAATTACAGACTCATTTTTAATTTATACTCCAATTACATTTAATAAAATGAGGGATTAAGATTTGACCAGTCTTTGCTTTTCTTCCAGGGTGTTAAGTGAGATTAAAAGTGTATGGAAGGGGAACAGGTGATTTAGAGGAGAGTGAAAATGGGGAAAGAAATGCTAATCAGGGGAAAAACCGAAAAACAATACAAGCCTAAGTAAGAAAAAAGTGGGGAAAACATGGGAGAAAAAGATAGAAAGAAGTAAGAAATACATAAGAGAAAACAAATAGGGAGAATAATTAATACTTTGAGGAAAACTGCATGCCCATTTTGTATGTTGTACCACCCTTGCAATTAAACAAGCCCACAGTGGAATTTTGCTCCTCATTTGCTGTGTCTTTGCTTAGCTTCTGATTTCCAAAGCCCCATTTCAAGCTGCCTGCTAGGTTGTTAAATATGAGGCCCAGGACTACAAACAGGGCAGCTCATAGAATCTTAACAGCCAAAAGGGTCTTGAGACAGCTAATCATGCCCTCCCTCTCCCCTCACCCAGTCAGTTGCCCACACTTTTTATAGTTGAAGAAATTGAGGCCCAGATAGATTAATGGCTAAGTAATACAGGATGTGTAGTTAGAACTAAAAGCTAGGTCATTTGATTCTAACTTCAGTGATTCAGAGTTGATTTCTTAATCTTTCCCTTTCAAAATTTTTCCAATTCCTTTCCCCAGCTTGTTTCATGAGTTTACTATCATCTAGTCATGGTGTCTCCCAAACTGACATACCCAGTTTTTAACTCTGGTACCTGCAGGCAGTTAGTTAATAACTCTTCTTGACTATGGATTCATGTCCTTGTTTCCACTGTGATTGCTTCTCACCTGGTTCAAGACTTTGGCACACTTCACCTGACTTTTAAGTAGCTTCCTAACTGGTCTCCCTAACTCTAGCTTCCTCCAGCTTCTCTTAGAGACTGCAGTCAGAGTAATCATTCTAAAACCTGACACTAATGTTGTCATTTTCCTGTCTTTCAGTGGCTCCTCTTTAGCTACCTAACTTCTTAGCATGATCCATTATTTCCATAATCTCGGCTCTTGCTTTGCTTTTCAGCCACATCTCTCACTACTCCTAAATTGAACATGCCCAACACTTTCCCGTTTGTTTGATTTTTCTCACCCTGTTCCCTATATTCAGGATATCCTTGTTTTCCTCTTTGCTAACTCAAAGACTGCCTTTTTCATACAGTCTCAATATTTCCTTTCCTAAGCAAAAAATAAGTTCTGGACTTTTCTTCTAAAGTACACCTAACTAACATACATTCTGGTTTATATTATTTGGGCACATGTCCTAAGGCCAGGTAACATATCCTGTTATTTTACTGTGTTTTGGTTTTGTTTTTTTGAGACAGCATTCTCACTGTGTTGCGTAGGCTGGAGTGCAGTGGCATGACCACAGTTCACTACAGCCTTAAACTCCCAGGCTCAAGCCATCCTCCCGCCTCAGCATCCCAAGTAGCTGAGATTATAGGCACACACTATTATGCTAGACTATGTCCAATTCTTTTTTAATCCCTCCCACAGCCTACACAGTGCTGCCTATATGATACGTAGGAATCAAATACTGTATGTGCTAGAAAACAGGTAAAAGAATTAGTCACATATAGGATGAAGAGAACAGTGTCAATGTTTTACATTAATTTGAAACTCCCATGGCTAATTACATGACTGTCTCAGAATGTACACAGAATGTACTTATTGCATGCAATATTTTTAACAGTAATAAGTCTGCTAGTAGATTTGCCCTTCCTTTTAGCAACTGAGAGGAAAATATTTGCATATACTAGATATCACTGAAATTTCTACAAATTTACTGTGATTTCTTTATGAAATACAGTTTAGAGCAGAAGTTAATAGATGAAAATTCTATACTGCAAAGGAGATTTTGCACTTTTCTCATAAGCTATGATAGCATTTCCTTATAATGTTCTCAGGTTCAATAGTATCAATTGGAATATAGGCCAAACCACATTACATGAAGTTCATCTGGTACTTATAGACACTAAAGCCCAATGGGGGCTGGGTGCAGTGGCTCATGCCTGTAATCCCAGCACTTTGGGAGGCCAAGGTGGGCAGATCACTTGAGGTCCAGAGTTCGACTAGTCTGGCCAACATGGTGAAACCCCGTCTCTACTAAAAATGCAAAAATTAGCCAGGTGTAGTGGCAGGCACCTGTAATCCCAGCTACTTGGGAGTCTGAGGCAGGAGAATCACTTGAACCTGGGAGGCAGAGGTTGCAGTGAGCCGAGATGGTGCCACTGCACTCTGGCCTGGGCAAAAGAGCAAGACCCTGTCTCAAAAGAAAAAAAAAAAAAAAAAGCCCAATAGGAAGGCCAAAAGACAATTCCCATTTGTGTAAAAACCTATCCAATAATAATTTCCTTTTTTTGTGGGAGTACATATGACTTGTACATATGACTTAAACTGCCTTCAAGTGTTTCTTGCTTTTTGAAATAGTATTTTTTTTTTCTCTTCACTTAAGCCAAGTTAAATGTTCCTTCCATAGTGTTCTTTTATGTGCGTGACTGAAGCTGAGGCTTGGTCCATCTCTCAGATTAGAAAGTAACTTAAAGCTGGTTCAACACTCAGCAAAGAGAGAGATTTCACAGGTGCCTATAAGACAACCTCCACATTAAAAGTTCATCACAGGCTAAAGATTCTTAGACATGGCAATATATAAAGAAAGAACATCGGGCCGGGCGCGGTGGCTCACGCCTATAATCCCAGCCCTTTGGGAGGCCGAGGCGGGTGGATCATGAGGTCAAGAGATCGAGACCATCCTGGTCAACATGGTGAAACCACGTCTCTACTAAAAATACAAAAAATTAGCTGGGCATGGTGGCACGTACCTGTAATCCCAGCTACTCAGGAGGCTGAGGCAGGAGAATTGCCTGAACCCAGGAGGTGGAGGATGCGGTGAGCCAAGATTGCGCCATTGCACTCCAGCCTGGGTAACAAGAGCAAAACTCCATCTCAAAAAAAAAAAAAAAGAAAAAAAAAAGAACTTCTCTGCCTCCCCGCCCCCCACCCCCTCCACCAAAACCAAAAACAAACATTAAATAGGGCCAGGGTGGTGGCTCACTCCTGGAACCCCAGCACTTTGGGAGGCCCAGGCAGGCAGATCACTGGACATTAGGAGCTTGAGACTAGCCTGGCCAACACCGTATAACCCATCTATTCTAACAATACAAAAATTAGCCAGGCATGGTAGTGAACGCCTGTAGTCCCAGCTACTTGGGAGGCTGAGGTAGGAGAATCGCTTGAATCCAGGAGGCAGAGGTTGCAATGGGCAAAGATCGTGCCACTGCCCTCCAGACTTGGCGCCAGAGCGAGACTCTGCCTCACAAAAAAAAAACAACAAACAAACACAAACATTAAATAGTATCACCTGGTAGAGGCTAAAGATGTAGGAGGAAAAAAGAGAAGCTGGATAATTTTATATTTTCCAAAAATTTACTTGTAGACCATTGCCCTTGTATATCAGAAAGGATCGCAGATCTTATGATTGCTGTATTTTGGATTCTGCCTGCAGGACTAGGCTTGGCGTGGTTTATGCCTGATGACTTACATCCAGGGAATTGGGAAACTAAACTCTACCAGTGCAGAAAAAGAAAAGTGAGGTAGTAAAGTACCGTAATGCCTTCCACTTGAAAGATAGCCTGAGGATCGGCTTTGGGAAAGAGTTTCTTCAATGTAGTATTCTCAGAATGGAGCACATTGAAGAAAGAAAATGCATCAGAAAGTCTAGCTGAATTCCTTTGCTCTTAACCACGGTACTCTTCTAGGAACCAGAGATGGCTACTGGATACCAGGGATCATGATAAAACATGTAGTGGAATTTGTTCCATACCTGAAGTGTTTGATTCGGTTCTCAAGCTCCTGTAAAAATAAATAGCACATTTCAAAAATTTACCAGCATAACCACAAATATTTAGAAAAGATTTACTAGATATAAAATAACTGGTCATTCTTTAAATGCTTTGTGGGTAGTAATGAAACATGTTTAGCAAGCCTAGGTCATTACTGATTATAGAACATATGAGAGTAAAATTATCTAAAACTTCTGCAACATGTGGGCTATTCAATCTGTAAAAGCCATAAACGTTTATTGTATGTAATACTATGTAATCTATTTTTATTACTTCTATTGCCAGTCACTCCATAGGGCCGCTGGCATCCCCAACACTGCGGCCTCCCCATCCTTCTCTTGTCAGGCCGAGAGAAGTTAACTGCTGCTGCTGAGCCTTATAAATAAATAAGGTCAATTATGTTGGGAATAGTAGGTTTCAAAGAGACCTGAGGATAAATTCTGAAATGGTTGGTTAGGAGAAATCAACAACTTCTGGTAGCTTCTTTATCACCAAGTCTGTGGCCTTACTGGGGGTGGTCATGCTTGGGAATCTTATAGGTAAATAAAGTACCTAATTTACATTTAATAACATTTCTTATGGTTTATTGGATAAAATAGGAGACTAGCAGTTTTTTTTAGAAGATTTCACTATCAGAAAGGTCTTTGGATAAAGAAGCTTATTTTCTGTGCTCCTAATTTTTAAAATTGGTAACAAGAATTAAAATACTTATTTTCTTAACCTCATTGGCATACTAAAATGTAAACTTAAGTCACATAATTTTCACCAAATTCTTATTTCTTGACACATTTTCAATAAATATTTTGGAAGTATTGAATAAAACAAATAGTTCAGGAAGAATAATTATCTTAGCTATTATCCTCCAAAATAAATGTGCAAAGACAAAATTGTGATCCATTTTAAGGGGTCTGGCAGATTCACCCAGTTCAAGTTCTATAATGGATCTTTCAAAAAGTAAATGTTAAAATGGCAATTTTCTATAGAGTTCACAAATAAATATTCATATAGTCTTTATCAAATAGATCTGATTACTTAAGTGAAGGTTAAACTTGATGATAAAAATTTTCAAGAGGCTGAGAAATATCAAGTAAATGTACCTTGAAAAATAGATGCAAATTAAAGCCTGACATTATCCTCTTTAAAACAAAGGAAAGAGCCACGGTAGCACTACTGTCAAGATATGAGAAGAAATACAAATGTTTTATAAAGTAAATTCTTCATTTCTAAAGGACCTAAAGTGACAGTATAGATAAGTCTCCAACATTTTTCACTCATCTAGATTTAAGATGCTCAATTTACATTTTAAAGACTAGTAAATCTTTACATTTTAAAGACTAGCAGAATATTCAACAAAGTTATTGTTTTTTTTAAAAAAATTTTTTTTTCTGAGACAAGGTCTCCCTCTGTTACCCAAGCTAGAGTACAGTGGCTCTGCTCTATCATGGCTCTCTGCAGCCTTGACTTCCCGGCTCAAGCAATCCCTCTGCCTCAGCCTCCTGAGTAACTGGGACCTCAGGTACACTACCACGCCCAAATAATTTTTTTCCTTTTCTGTTTTTGTAGGGACAGGGTCTTGCCATATTGCCCAGGGTGGTGTTGAGCTCCTGAGCCCAAGCAATCCTCCCGCCTGGGCCTCTCAAAGTATTGGAATTACAGGCATGAGCCACTGTACCCAACCTAATTTTTTATCAGTGTTCCAAAATACACAGTTATAAAGTGTTACTGAAATCCATGGTCTTGGAAAAGAAAAATAATATATATAACTTATTTATCAATCTCACGAGCATGACTAAATCCTACAAATATCTCTGCAATACAGCAGTAGTGAATTCCATTCTTTCTTAGAATATTACATCTTTCATTCATAATAACATTCTCAAATTAGACTCTAGTTAGTAATTATATTCCTGATGCAAATAGGCAATAAAAAGAAATCCATGCTTTATTAAATTGGGCTTAAGAGGATTACTTATAACCAAAATTTGTTTTGTTTTGTTTTGTTTTGTTTTTATTCATCTATTTATTTCTCTCCAGTAGAATCAGCTGATAAATGGCACAAGGAGCTGAGAAGGGAGGGGCGAGACCTTAAAGAATTTGAGATTTGTTGATTCTTAAGATCTTTTATATCTTTGAAATTCTATGATTTTTGCTATTTATTTAGGGATTCATTTTTTCATTGTTTCTAATAGGGATCATAATAGTGAGGCGAATGAAACAGTACCTGCTGAGCATTTTTCATCCTAACAATTAAAGTTATTCTTATAATTTTTAATATTTTAAAAAGCAATAAGGGCTAGTATAGAAAAATTCTCAGAGACTGATGTCAGCAAGATAGATGATTAGAGATGTCTGGCATTCATCCTTCCCCACAAGAAAGGACCAAGGCAATTAATACACTGCTAAGATGTGACTGGGGTGTCAAAGGAAGGTCATTGGAGTGCAGCCGGGGAGCAGAGACATGTCTGTGGTGATGGAAAGTCCAGGAGGGCAGTGTGGAGGCACCTATATCACCTATGTGGTTTGGATCTGCCCAGAGTCAGGGGAGACTTCTTATAGCAGGAAAAGGTAAGCAGAAAAGCCCCACCAGCCCCTATTGCTACCAAAAACACCTACAGTTCTTACAACAGGAGACTCCATAGTCCTCACAAGCCCTGAGCCTAGTTTGGAGAGTTGCTGGGAATTCACACAGCTGCAATGCCTCAGGTTAAGAGCACAAGGTATGCACTCCTACTCCCCAGTCACCACCTGTGAGCCAAGCTACTGCTTGAGACCAGAGCCATCTCTTGAGAGTACCCTGCTCTGGGGAGGCCACTGGCCACTGCATTTCTCCAGCCCTAGGGCTCCATCTTCATCCCACCAAGCCCACACCAGTGGCTGAACACCACAACACCACCTGTGCAGAACCTGGGCCAGGATCTGCTGTGGCTTTGGTTTTACACAGCAGGGAAACCAACCCTCACGGCTGCACTTCTAGCCAGAGGGAGAGTATGGCAGTCTTATTCATGGAAAACCCACCCTTGAGCCAGCCAAATGCTGCATACACACCCTCAAGTGAGAGAGACTCCGAGCCTCTGAACAGTTGATACACCCCCAGTCAAGCAGAACACCTATGTGCGTATGCTTAGGACATGAAGAAACAGTTCCACAGTGCCTCCATCCCTTACAGACATGTTCCTGGCCTGCCCAATGACCCTGCACCCACAATCCAGGGCCTGAGACACAGTCCTGCCGGTTGTTCCTGACAGGCATGCCCCCAGGCCAGCCAAGCAGGCAAGAACCCATGCCCAGGACCAGAGAAACAGCCTTATAAGCCACCCCAGGTGGACATGCTCCAGGCTGCCAAGTAGCCCTGTACCCATATATCAGCCCTCAGAAATAGCCCACAGGCTTCCGCTTCCCCCAGTAGGCATGTCCCTGAGTTGGCCAAACAGACTTGCATTGTTGTTCCATATTTGAGAAACAGCTCTTGGGCAACCACCAGTAACCATGCCCCCAGATCACCCACATCCAAGCAGCTGTGCACCCACATCCCAGGCTGAGAAACATCTCTGTGGGCTGCTACTCATAGACAACAACTGTGTGATCATGCTCCCGTCCACAGTAACAGCCCCATGGCCCCAAACTCAGCAAGCCAGACCCAGGTTGGCCAACTCACTGTGTGCATGTGCCTGTCCCTGACCTGAGACACAGCCTGGTGAGCCCACTCGTGGCAAAGCTGTGCCACTGATGCCACAAACTCTCTAAGCCTAGGCTACTGAGAAACTTGCAAATGCTGAAGAAACTACATGGAGATTACACTACTGTATCCACTTAGAACCAAAGCCAACACAACCCACTGAACTGACATCCCAAGACCCATTCATACAAATAAGTCTTTCTGTGTAACACTACTCCATAATATTGGAAGAGGCATTTTTTCCACTAGATGCATAGAACTTAACATAGGACCATAGGAAACATGACACTTCCAAAGGAAAACAATAATTCTCCAGTAACAGACACCAATAATAAGAAACTATATGAAATGTCAGAAAAAGAATTTAAAATAATAATCTTAAGAAAATCTTTTGTCTCAGTATGGGTCATGCATGAAAAAAAAGGTAAAAAAGAAAAAAAAAAAGAAACCCTTAAGATTAAAATCTTTCACAGACAAACAAAAACTAAGGAAATTTACCATCACTAGATTAGCCTTACACAAAATGCTCAAGGGACTTATACATAGAAATGAAAAGATGGTAGCCACCATCATGCAAACATGCAAAACTATAAAACTCACAGGTAGAGCTGATACACAAAGGAGAAAGAGAAAGAAATAAAACCTTATCACTACAGAAAATCATTCAACTGCAAAATAAACAATAAGAGAGGAAGTAAGGAACAAATATATAAAAAAACAACCAGAAAACATGTAACCAAATGACAGGAGTAAGTCTTCACCTATCACTAATAACCTTAAATATAAATGGATTAAATTCCCTACTTAAAAGATATAGACTGACTGAATATATTTTTTAAAAAATGACCCAGCTATATGTTGCCTACATGAAACTTATCTCACCTGTAAATATACATATAGACTGAAAGTGAAGAAATGAAACAAGATATTTGATGCAAATGGAAACCAAAATCTGGCAAGAGTAGCCATATATATATCAGATAAAACAGACTTTAAATCAGAAACTGTAAAAAAAAAGATGAAGAAAGTAATTCTATAACTATAAAGGAATCAATTTAACATGAGAGTGTAACAATTTTAAATATACATGTACACTGGAGCACCCAGATCTATAAAGCAAATATTAGATATAAAGGCAAATATAGATCCCAATACAATAACAGCTGGGGACTTCAACACCCACTCTTAGCATTGGACAAATCATCTAGACAGGATATCATCAAAGAAACATGGAATTTAAATTGCATCACAGACCAAATGACTTAGCAGATATTTATAGAACATTTCATTCAAGAGCTGCACAGTACACATTCTTTTCATCAGCATATAAAATG